CAATAAGATGAAAACAGTTAAACATCTAATTTGTTTATACAATACAAGTAATTTGGCTTAAAGACTGGGGTGTTTAATGACTGGGTGAAGTTACAATGGCTTTTTAAAAAGGTATTTAACAACCATCTTTGAAACTTCTGTACAATCATGGGATGTGCTTGTGCTCTGTTTTCTTCTGTCTCGTTGAAGATGTTGATTGTTTCATTTGTCTTTTATACATACTGGACCTATACTTTTGGTTGTATGTATAAATCCTGTTTTGAGTCCTGAGAGTGGTGATCCCATGAATAATGCTTAATGGGATCCTCATAGAATCCCATGGATGATCACAGGATCTCATGAATTCTGGCAGTAAACTGCATATATTCTCATGTATTTAAATGCTTTGTTTGCTTTCTCAAACTCCTGGAGGAAAACTTGCCCAATACATTTAATAAACAAATATTTTGCAGCAGTATTTTATTTCTGTGCATTTGCCTTGCTTACTTGCAGATTCTGCTTATTTTGTGCTAAACTCATCCTGTTCTTAGACAAAATTATCAATATATGATGCAACAAGGGGGACTTGACTTTTCAGGTTGCTTCTCAAAGGCTCTGATACTGATTTGGATTTAGAAATTGACTGGCCAAGGGTCACCCAGCTGGCTTCTGTTCCTAATGGTGGAATAACTAGACCTTGAGTCTCCCTTGTTTAACTTTTATTAGACACTGCTGGCTCTCAAAAATGTTTTTTTCTAGTAATAACATCAATTAATTTGACTATCATTAGAGGTTTTTTTTATTAAGTTGTGCTTCTGTAGAAGGGACAGGCCTCCTTTTAGCCTCTTACACTCTGATGTGACTTCCATTCATATTTGTTTTTATAATATGGAGAATAATTGATTTATATTTTGTTTTGAACCATGCTAGTTATTTTTGCTTCTGCCATATTCAAGGCCAATATAGAATTTAAACCCATAACATTTTTACATGCACCTCATACACCCAATACCAATACACCCATCTGGGTGTTACGTGAATTTCATTGTATGTATACTATGTATATATGTACAATGACAATAAAGAATTCAATTCAATTCTTCTTATTTATGGCTTATTATGTAACCATAAAATTATTTTTTCATCAATTTTTGGTCCTAATAAGGGACAAATGTAATTTGTGTAATATATCATTTCTAAAATATCTATAAAAGTTCTCTCAGCTGCCTCTGGTGTCTTTGTCTCCCACCTGGAAAAAGCAGCCAGGACTCAGTTTGGAGTAATCTTCGCTTTATTCCAGCAACCAAAACAATGCAACAACGAGTAAGGATATTTCCAAATAAAGCCAGCGCTGAGAGCCACTGCCTCTCAGCACTTTAAATACCCTAGTTCCGCCCCTCCCATTCATCTAGGCTGCCTAACATCCGGTCCTTCGTTATACTAACATCCTCCTATCTGCAGCTCCCTTCACCTGTGTGCTTACTATCCTTCCTTATTATCCCATGATTGTGCCCAGATTACCCACCACCATGGCCATTCTCCAAATGTCAGCCACCGCTCGTCCCTCCTTCAGTCCTGGATTCAATAACTGCCACCCATTCCCAGCCTGCTGCAATCTCCCTGTTACCTCCTGATGACATCATTCTAGTTTCTCCATAGTCAGCATGACTATCAGCTGCAATCTCCCTGTCGCCTCCTGATGACATCATCCTAGTCTCTCCATAGGGGCGGCTGGGGTGAACTTGGTAACAAGGTAAATAGCAGTTCCCGCTGCCCGACATTGTCGGTCTCCAGCATGTGTTGTGGCGTGTCTGGAGCCTGACAAGTCCTTACAACAAATTTATGCAATTAGTGAGTACAGGTAACAAAATACAACAAATAAAACCTGGATGATAAAAACAAAATAGCAAACTAATTAATAAAAGAGATGTAAAATTTTGAAATTTACCTTTTAAATGTGGAGCTATTGAATGAATATAGAAAAGAGTTCTATGAACACAAATGTAAATAAGTAAAATTTTACTTTGTGATACACTATAACAACAAAGATGTAATCTAGACCAGGGGTTGCCAACCTTTTTGGACCTCGGGGACCACCAAACTCATAATTTTAAATCCTGGGGACCACTAATATGAATTTTACTGATGGTGGCTTGGTGATGTTGATGGGAGAAAGACAGAGAGATATCTGATCTAACCTACCTCTCTCTCTCTCTCTCTCTCTCTCTCTCTCTCTCTCTCTCCCTCTGTCCCACACACACAAACACACAAACGGGTGGGATTCAAATTTCTTAACAATCTGTTCTTGGGCGTGGCATAATTTGTGGGTATGACTTGGTGGTCATGTGACTGGCTGGGCATGGCTTGTATGTAAATATTATAAATATTTATGTAAATATTGAATTTTTTATTAAAGAGCAACTTTTACCCCCAAATCAGATTGAGTTGTTTACAGAATCACAGATTCAGAGATCTATTTTTCTGCCATCAACTACCTGAGTCTGTCACATAAAATTTGCTTGTAAGCAAACTCACAAAATTAACTCACAACACACCATGTATGTAAATATTGAATTATTTTTATAAAAAAAGAGCAACTTTTACCCAAAATCAGACAAAGCAGCCAGGCAGATTGAGTTGCTCACAGAATCACAGATTCACTTGGAGATCTGTGTTTCTGCCATCGGCTATCTGAGTCTGCACTGAATAATAGAATCTTCCATCCTAAGAGAGGTTTGCTTAAAAGCAGAGCCGAAGATCTAAAGATTAGCTAGAAAGCAAGAAATCCAACGATTTCCTGCTTTCTAGCTAATCTAAACCTCCCGGCACAGCAGAACAGCTGATGGTCGGGCGGGGGGGGGGGAAGGAAAAATAGCAACTTAGCTGGCAAGTTTGCCAGGTAAGGAGTGAGTGGGCGGGGAGGGTTCCTGCGGGCCATGTTGGTGAGGCAAACTTATGTTCCTTGCAGCCTGGATTAATTGCTTTGGGGGGTGCTCTGGGGGTGACATTTCTCTGCGGACCACCACAATTTTCTCACGGACCACCAGTAGGCTGCGGCCCACCGGTTGGTGACCACTGATCTAGACGCAGTATAGGGGTTTTTTAATAATGGAATACAATTATTCACTAATGGAATCAGAAAGTTAAAATAGTTTTTATTTAAGGCAATATTAGCTATGCAAGATAGACTACCCCATGAAACAGATGCCACATGTGCCTAAAACTACTTTTATTAAGATTAACAATATCATGAGAGCTATGCAAGTCTGAAAAAGCTTCTCTTCCTTCCTCTTCTATCTTCATGTAAATTCAGGAGTGTGTCCCTGTCTGAAATGTTTTCATATTACTACCTCACCTGAGTTTCTGCAATGTTTACCTGCTCATTGCCTTGGTAACTGATCTTCCCTTCCATCAAGGTCACTGCTTCACTGGCTATGACAGCTGAAAGTAATTTGGTGACTTTTCTAGTAGGAGGAACAAATAAAACTACTCAGGGGGGAAAAATGACATCTGTTCACAGCCACAAGTATGACAATAAAGCATAGGTTAGTATAAAAAGGGCACACTATAATTAAAGTTAGATAAACTATTTTTTAATAATAAAATATTTTAAAAATCAAATTTAAAAACTTTTTGAAAGGAAAAAACGCAATGGCAGATCAGCATGCACCAAAATTAATTTTATGTTAAACACCACTGATATTTATTAGAAAGTTTGATTTACACTCTGAAGATAATGTTCCTGGCTTTTAGTAGGCTATATGTTCTTTAGAGTGATTGTTTTTTATCATTCTATGTGTTCTATTTGTTATTATTTCAAATATATAGTCTGATACTCCATATCTCTTATTGTCTCAAGTACTGTATTGTACTATATTGTCATTTTAAATCATATTATTCTGAATCCATGTGTAGTTTTGTTGAATATTACTTCAATAACTGTCTTTGAGCATTACTTCTATGAATTTCTGTCAAAATGATTATTATTTGAAATATTTTCTTCATTAAAAAAAGTCCTACTGTTCTTTAATTCTGTAGGTTGCAACAGTTATTAATGTTATTGTCTGAGACAAAAACTCTGAAGTTGGTTGGGCTGAGACTGAGTGACAGGTCTAAAGTCACACAAGCAATTTTATTGTTTCACGGAGGACTCAGAGTCACAATCTGACTCTTAATCACCGCACAAAACTGTCTCTAAAAATGTATTTTTAATATATACTCACTATTTCTCTTTTGATGAAAAATATTTTTCCTGCCTTTTTATATATTTGGTCAACTGAAGTTGGTGAACATGCCTAATATTCCTACCTTCTGTATGCTCCACAATAGCATTTTGAGATAGATTGAGTTAAAAGACAATAATTGGCTCAAAGTTACTCAATTCATCTTCAAGCCTAAGAACCCAATCTCCTGGTTTCTAGGACAGCATTATACCTGACTCTCAATTATTATATTGGTATGCATAGTGGTACGCTGTGATATACTTGTACTGGTATACAGTGATTAGCTCAAAGTTACTCAAGGCTTGGAAAATGAAATGGAGTTCTTATATTGCTTCTCTATCTTGTTTCCATATTTGCTCTCTAGAAAGGTCAGGAAATTGCTCCATTTTTTAATGTGGTTTTTTTACCTCTTTTTACCTCTGTCTTATTTGCAGCTTGGGAAGAACACTTATTTTCAGTTCTATTACCAGAAATTATTTTTACTCTTGAAGAAAATTATAATTCTTCATTCTGTTATCATTTTAGGACATTACATTAGTAGGATATTAGTAGGACATTTCACCTGGCTTAGTTTATGGAAAGATGTTGCTGATTATCCATGTACAATATTATATTGATTTGATTAATTGATGGATTATATACCATCAAGTTGTTAAAATCTATCTGTAACCTGAACTTTTAAATCTTCCAATGATGTCCTCATTGCTACTGTAAGTGAATCCATCCATCCTTCTGCAGGTTGTCCCCTTCTATAATCTTTCCATGTAATTTTATATTTTCTCTCTTCTCTATTTCCAGGATGGCACAAAACAAAAAAGGGAACGGAAAAAAACAGTCTCGTTCAGCAGCATGCCTACTGAGAAGAAGATAAGTAGTGCAAGTGACTGTATTAATGCTATGGTTGAAGGTTCAGAACTCAGAAAAGTTCGATCCAACTCTAGGATATACAATCGATATTTTCTTTTAGATGCAGATATGCAGTCACTAAGATGGGAACCTTCAAAGAAGGATTCTGAAAAAGCAAAGATTGACATCAAATCAGTCAAAGAAGTGAGAATAGGGAAAAATACAGACATTTTTCGTAGCAATGGAATTTCTGACCAAATTTCAGAAGATTGTGCATTTTCTATTATTTATGGAGACAATTATGAATCTCTTGATCTGGTTGCAAACTCTGCAGATGTTGCAAATATTTGGGTTACTGGCCTAAGGTATTTGATATCTTATGGAAAACATACACTGGACATGCTAGAAAGTAGGCAAGATAAAATGCGCACCTCATGGGTCTCCCAAATGTTTAATGAAACAGATATAGATCATATGGGGCGGATATCCTTGGATACAGCTGTGAAGTTTATAAAAAAATTAAATCCTGGTTTAAAAACAAATAAAATTGAATTAAAATTCAAAGAACTGCAGCGATCAAAAGACAAGCCTGATACAGAAATCACAAAGATTGAATTTGTTGAAGTTTTCCATGAGCTTTGCACTCGTCCTGAGATCTATTTCTTACTAGTTCAGTTTTCTAGTAATAAAGAATTTCTTGATACCAAGGACCTTATGATGTTTTTAGAAGCAGAACAGGGTATGGCTCATGTCACAGAGAAGACTAGCCTTGATATTATTCACAAATATGAACTATCTAAAGAAGGTCAAAAAAGAGGCTGGCTCTCCATAGATGGTTTTACAAATTATCTTACCTCCCCAGAATGTCATATATTTGATCCAGAGCACAAAAAGGTGTGCCAGGACATGAACCAGACTTTATCTCATTATTTCATAAACTCTTCTCACAATACATACTTGATAGAAGATCAATTTCGAGGGCCATCTGATATCACTGGTTACATTCGGGCTCTAAAAATGGGATGCCGCAGTGTTGAGTTGGATGTCTGGGATGGTCCTGACAATGAGCCTGTAATTTATACTGGTCACACAATGACTTCACAAATCGTTTTCCGTAGTGTAATTGACATAATTAACACATATGCATTTTTCGCTTCGGAATATCCTCTTATTTTGTGTTTGGAAAATCATTGTTCTCTCAAGCAACAGAATGTGATGGTCCAGCATATGAAGAAGATTCTGGAGGATAAATTATATGTGAATCCTCCAAATACAGAGGAGTCTTACCTGCCATCTCCTGAATATCTTAAAGGAAAAATACTAATTAAAGCCAAGAAGTTATCGTCTAATTGCTCTGGGCTAGAGGGAGATGTTACAGATGAAGATGAAGGAGCAGAAATGTCACAGCGAATGGGAAAAGAGGCAGTGGAACTACAGAATGTTGTCCCAGTGAAACGGTTTCAGCTTTGTAAAGAACTATCGGAACTGGTAAGCATATGTAAATCAGTTCAGTTCAAAGATTTTCAGGTTTCATTTCAACTTCAGAAATACTGGGAAGTTTGCTCCTTTAATGAAGTGGTTGCCACCAAATATGCCAATGAACATCCTGGAGACTTTGTGAATTATAATAAACGCTTTCTTGCAAGGGTTTTCCCAAGCCCTATGAGGATTGATTCTAGTAACATGAACCCACAGGATTTCTGGAAATGTGGCTGTCAAATTGTAGCAATGAACTTTCAGACACCTGGATTAATGATGGACCTCAACATTGGCTGGTTTCGACAAAATGGCAATTGTGGCTATGTGCTGCGACCCGCTATCATGCGGGAGGAAGTATCTTTCTTTAGTGCAAATACAAAGGACTCAGTGCCTGGTGTATCACCTCAGCTTCTTCATGTTAAGATTATTAGTGGGCAGAATTTTCCAAAGCCAAAAGGTTCAGGTGCCAAAGGTGATATAGTAGATCCTTATGTGTATGTAGAAATCCATGGGATTCCAGCAGACTGTGCAGAACAAAGGACAAAAACTGTCCACCAAAATGGAGACAATCCTATTTTTGATGAGAGTTTTGAATTTCAGATTAACCTACCTGAACTTGCTATGGTACGCTTTGTTGTGTTAGATGATGATTACATTGGAGATGAATTCATTGGGCAGTACACAATTCCTTTTGAATGTTTACAACCAGGTTATCGTCATGTCCCGCTTCAGTCTCTAACAGGAGAAGCTCTAGCATATGCTTCCTTGTTTGTTCATGTTGCTATCACTAATCGAAGAGGTGGAGGGAAACCTCATAAACGGGGACTTTCTGTTAGAAAAAGCAAGAAATCCAGGGAATATGCCTGTATGAGGACTTTGTGGATTAAAAGTATTGATGAAGTATTCAAGAATGCTCTTCAGCCCATTCGGGATGCCACAGATTTGAGAGAAAATATGCAGGTATGACTTTTCATCTTCTTTCATACACAATATTTTTCCATGTGCACTTAATTATGAATCCAGAATTTAAAAAGAATATTAGTTTGTAGGAATAATAATAGTTTATAAAGGAATATTAAGGTTACCTGATGAATTTCCTTAGTAGGGTGACTTTGGGCCAGGCAGTCTTTTTCAGATCAACCTACCTTACAGTTTTAATTGTGAGGAAAATAGGAAGCAGGAGTATTGGGTATGTTTATCATGTGGAATTATTTATAATATAGGTGGGACAAAAATCTAATAAATAACATATACAAAAAAAATTAAACGTGGGCAGGTTATTTTTATTTTAAAATTGAGTATTTTTACTGAGGATACCTCTTCAGTAAATAGCACTTATGTAAACTTGGAATACATAGTGGTGAGAACAAGCTTTTAATTGTAACTTAACATTCAGTCAATAATTAAATGTCAGTCCTTCAGTATAAAAATTGTTGCCAGATAGTATCCTTGGGCAATTTTCCAAAGAAAACTGGCATGGGCAATTAAAATAGCTGATGCACCCAAACACTGTGTAAACTTTTGTCAATCAAGTAAATGAACCTATTTCCTTAGGTCAGGAGTCTGTTTAGTACAGTAATTTCAAGGCTAAAATGATGAATTGTTTTTCTTTAAAGTCTTCTTTATTAAATGGCAGTTGTTTATTTTTAGCCATGATTTGCAATGTATATATCAGATGTTATGTTTAGTGAAGTGATGAAGATAAGCTGATTCCATTATAATGGGGAAAATGTTGAATCTAAATAGTACTGTGGGGATCATTTTCTTTTCTTCATTTTTCTGGCATTTGTATCAATGCATTTTCTTGCCATAATTACCCATCTACCCATCCACCTATGCAAAAACATACATTAATTAAATGCCTGGATGAACTTAGATGTATGTTTGGTGGAAAATTACTTGTGGAGAGAATATTTTCCTATGTCGAGCAATTTCACAGTTGTAGACACAGGCTTATTTAGCTGCCTCAACTAAGTTTCAATATTTTTTTTTAAAAAAAGTCATTTATATAATGGAATAGCAATCCATTATTTCACTACTGTCTTTAATTAGAAATCAGAGTTTGAAATGGAGCTGAGATTCAACAAATGGGAAAGATAAAAACATTTATCTCTCATATTTTTTATAGCAAAATAAGTAATTATTGATTTTTTTAAGAAAACCTCGGTAATTAAGTAAATGATCCATAGTTATTTAACCTCCAAGGATAAGAAGATTGTATGACAAATATGCACGACAAACTTTCAACATAGAAGGTTTTGAAATGGAGACCATAATGTAAAATTATAATATGGATACCTCAGTATTTTTCTGCTTTAGAAAGCAAGCTGTTCTTGTCAATTGCAAGTTAAAATAATTGGTTCCTTAGCAATATTTTAAAATGTATTTACAATATCGAGTATTTGTTATAAATGCTGCAAATACACATAGCTCATTGTTTGCTTAGGGAAAGTAGTTATTTTCCCAGGGCCTATCTATGTATTATTTAATAATTTAGCTCTTATAACTTCTACATTATAAACTATTTGAAATCTATTAATTGACCAGTACAGCATCACTTCACCCTTTCTCTCTGTCTCTCTTTCTCTCTCCCAAATAGAATGCAGTAGTTTCATTCAAAGAGTTGTGTGGGCTTGCTCCTGTAGCAAATCTTATACAATGTATTCTGGCAATGTCTAGCCGCTTAGTGAAATCCGATAATACAACCTTGGTTGTGGTAAATCTCAGTGATCAGTATCCCACAATGGAATTGCAAGGGATTGTTCCAGAAGTTTTAAAAAAAATTATCACATCATATGAAACAGTAAGTAATCTACCATTTTTTCTCAGTTTGAAACACACACACACACAAACACACACACACACACATATATTTGTGTGTGTGTGTGTTCTGCAATACTTCCTCAACACCCATCTGCTGCTTGGAAAATTACCATTAAGAACATGGAGGAATTGTTTCGGGAAATTAATTGTAGTTACCAGATCTGGGCTAGAGACACAAAAATTTATCTTTGCTGCCCTTTATAGTTATCTGGATTCTTGCTGAGCATGTCTTGGAGTTTGAAGTTAGTATAGTAACTGATTTATGCAAACCACTTATTGTAATTAAGCAAAATTTATTGGAAACATGCTTGCATATATCTTGCCTGGGCATTTGCTATTGATTTGATTTAGTAATTTTGCTACATGTATATATAATACTGTGTGTAACTTTGTAGTTCAATAAAAAATGGAAAATTAATTTGTTTTTAGAATTTAATGTTATCACTGAGTTCTGAACTATAAATCACATTCTGTATTGAAATTTGTAGCTAAAATTCAGTTTTATTTCTAATAACGTTTTTGCAGATTAGAATAACTTTTCCATTCACATGGTAGAGATGATTCCACAAAAATGTTTTTTACAATGTAAAAATGTTTAATGTAAACTTTTCATATTTACTGAAATCATGCTGAAATAAATGTGGTTGTCATGCCCCTGCGGACTCTGATTTAGAGGGGGAAACCAAGCAGCTGACAGGGAGTGGAAGTGTGGCTCAGTTGGCTGTGAAAGAAACTGGGGAAGGGCACAGTCCAGCTGGGCAGACCAGGGGAAAGGTAGAGCAAGGGAGAGGGAATTCGGAGGAAGACCCAGGCCCACCCCTTCATCCTGGGGCATGCAGGGAGGAATGGAGAAGGGAGCAATGTGAGTTGCGTGGCTTATGGAGGAGGAAAGGGCCCTGATTCCCTTCATTAGTTGCAGCTGGGAACACAATGTTTAAAAAGGAAAGTTGCACACAGCAACTTGTTGGAAGCAAATTGTGAGTTATCTATTATTGTCATGGCTTATCTGTGTTCCTGGCATCTTCCCAACTGTGTGTGTTTTGTTGGCCTTTCAAGTCTGCAATTTCTTATCTTGCCCTGTCAAATTAATTGTTGCAGCATGGTTTGTGTGGATTTTTATTTACAGTTTGTATGTACTTTGGTATTGGATTGAATTTCCTCCACTTAGACTGTTCTTGAGAGAGTTTTTTCTCCAGCCGAAGGTAACATGGACATTGGGGACAAAACTGGAGTTATTCAAGGGACTCTTTTTACTTATGTGACTGTGTTGCCTTTGTGCCATGCCCCTGGTCATCACAGTGGTCTTAAGTGCAAGTCAAATCTAGCTGTAAATGTGAATGAAGCTACCTAGACGACATTCTCTTTCAGTGTGGCCCTTACCATCAGGCACAGAAGGACTTGCAGACAACAATCCACCTCCTTCAGGACCACAGGTTTTTCTGTGGTGCCATCCACTCGCCTGTTACATCTAGGCGCGATGATAGATACCTGGTTATGCGAGGTCTACCTTTCCCTAGAATGCCTGGACAGCATCAAGTCCTTGGTGAATCAAATCTAAGTGGAACAAACCATTCTCCGTAGAACTGCTGCGAGCATCCAGAGAGTGGGAGGTGCTTCAGTCCTTCCTTCTCACAGGCTGAGTTATAATTGAAGAACGCTCCTCCTTCCTCCACGTGGCTCCTCCATGCATTCTCCCAGTTTCACTCAGCCTTTCAAGAAAGCAGACAGCGATCTCTTTGTTCCTTGGCCGTTTTTCAGAATTTTTCTTCTAAGTTTTTCAGGTTTGCCTTTATTCCTTTCCTCCTTGTCCCTGCGTTGATAGTGTGCTCTTAAATTTAATTTGGTGAGGCGATTTTGCCTGTAGGAAGGGGTTTAAGGGCTCGGAGCTTTCCTTCGCCCCACCCCCCACCCCTCCTCCCTTTCTCTGCATTTCCGAGCGTGCCTTTATCCAGCCGCTTGGCTCCGCGCCTCTATTTATCGCGCTATCGTCATTCCCCCCTAGAACGCATTAGAGGAAGCAACGCTTCCTCTCCCAGCCCTGGTTTTTCGTTGTTCCTTTGATTGCTTTGTAGGCGAATAGGGCTGGTGCACCTCTGATTGCCTCGCGTCATGCCAGGTGGCCATTTTGGAACCGCCTCGTGGCCGGCGCCATTTTGTTTTATTTTAAAAAATATTTTTTCCTGGCTGTGTGTAATTCTTTGGATTTAAGCTGTGTGGACATTAGGGCCATCCAATCTGTCCCATCCTCTCAACGAGGAAGAGGTTTTTATTCCCTCTTGTTCTTGGTGCCTAAACATTCAGGGGGTTGGAGACCTATTTTAGATCTCAAGCGGCTTAATCGCTTTGTCAGGCGCCAGAAGTTCAAGATGCAGACTCTACAGTCTATTTTACAGGGTATCAGGGAAGGGGACTGGCTCACGTCAGTTGACCTGTCGGAGGCATACCTCCATATTCCCATTCATTCCTCATATTCAAAGTATTTGAGATTCTGTTATAATAACCAACATTTCCAGTATGTGGCCCTCCCTTTCGGCCTTGTTTCAGCCCCGAGGTCTTTCATGAAGGTGTTGGCAGCTCTGGCAGCCCATCTTAGACAGGTTCCCATCCGCATCCATTGTTACCTCGACGATATCCTTATCGTATCCCCTTCCCGACTGCAGGCCGAGAGGGATACTAGTGTTACCCTATCAGTGCTGCAGGATCACGGGTTTTTAGTGAATTGGGAGAAGAGCCAACTTAGCCCTTCCACCCGCATAGCCCACCTAGGGGCTGTAATTGACTCTGTTAAGGGTAAGGTCTTCCTCTCCCAGGAGAGGCTTCATAGTATTCATACTGCTATCCGGACTATCAGACTATCAGGCGAACTGGAAAAGCGTCTTTACTCAGTTTATCCAAGCTTCTGGGGAAACTTGTTTCCTGCATTTCTATTATCCCATGGGCTCATTTGTATTCCAGATCCTTGCAGTGGTTCCTTCTGCCGTACCAGCGCTCGGGAAGGAGCACATCAAGTCGAGTGGTAAGGATACCTCCAAGGGTTCTCTCATCCCTTCTTTGGTGGACTCGACCTTCTACCAACAGAGGTCATCTATTCAAGGAGCCCCAAAGGGTCACTCTTACGACAGACGCAAGCCTTTCCGGATGGGGGGCCCATCTGCAGTCTCTGTCAGCCCAGGGAGTTTGGTCTCCTTCGGAGCGACGACACAACATCAACTGGTTGGAGCTTCATGCGGTATACCTAGCCCTGCGAGCTTTCGCTCCTCAGGTGAGAAGGCACCACATTCTGGTCCTTACGGACAACACCACCACCAAAGCCCATATCAACCGTCAGGGAGGCACCCACTCCATCCTCCTCATGAGAGAAGCCGAACGACTATGTCGGTGGGCAGAGACACATCTTTCCTCCATCAGGGCAGAGCACATTTCCGGGGTCTCCAACGTCCAAGCAGACTGGCTGAGCAGGGCCACGTTGGACCCAGCAGAGTGGCGCCTGCATCCGCGGCTGTTCAGGGAAGCAGCAGACAGGTTCGGGTCTCCTCTGGTAGACCTCTTTGCCTCGCCGCTCAACACGCAGACACCAAGGTTCTTCTCTCGGTTCCTCTCCCACGGGGCAGAGAACCACGATGCCCTGCGTTGTCCGGCCTCCTGTACGCCTTCCTTCCGCTGATCCCCAGGGTAATTCGGAAGTTGCTGTTCGAGAGGGCGGAGATCCTTCTGGTGGCCCCATATTGGCCCAGGAGGCCGTGGTTTGCGGATCTTCGCAATCTATCGGTGGTCCCGCCGTGGAGGATCCCGTTGGACAAGATCTCCCTGTCACAGGGACCTCTGCTTCATCCAGAACCACAGTGGCTGCAACTAGCCGTCTGGAGGTTGAGCGGGAAACGATGATTGAAGAAGGCTTGTCTACCCAGGTCATAAATACCATTCTGGCTGCCAGGCGGCCTTTCACTACTCGAATTTATGATGCAACTTGGAACAGTTTCTGTAGGTGGTGCCGGAAATCCTCTGTCAATCCACGCTTTCCTTCTATAGCACAAATTCTAGCCTTTTTACAGGATGGTCTAAATGAAGGTCTCTCTCCCAACACGTTGAGAAGACAGGTCGCGGCCCTCTCAACGGTGGTGGCTGGCGGCTCCTTCAGCTCTCTTTCCCACCACCCTCGCATTAAGGCCTTTCTAAAAGGGGCTTCTAATTTGCGCCCGCCGGTAGTGCATAGATATCCAACATGGGACCTTAACAAAGTTCTCCTGGCCTTGACTAGGCCTCCCTTTGAACCTCTCAGGGAGGTACCGCTCCAGTTTCTCACTTTTAAGGTGGTCTTTCTTGTAGCGATCACCTCAGCTAGAAGGATATCTGAAATTGCAGCTCTATCCGTGAGGAAGGACTTGTGCATTTTTCATTCCGATCGAGTTGTCTTAAGACCAGACCCCTCTTTTTTACCAAAAATCAATTCAGCCTTTCACAGGGCGCAGGAGTTGGTCCTACCTAATTTTTGTCCAAAGCCTCTGCATGATAGGGAGAGGCGGTGGCACACCCTCGATGTTCGAAGGGCGTTGCGTATTTACATATGTCGCACGCAATCCATCAGGAGATCGGAGTCCCTGTTTCTGTCGTTTCAGCCTAAAACGCTGGGTCAGAAGGTACCACCATCCACGGTAGGCCGGTGGATTAGGGCAACCATTTCCAAGGCCTATTCAGTTCAAGCTCTTCCAATCCCCAGTGGGATAACGGCTCACTCCACCAGAAGCGCAGCTACATCAATAGCCTGGGCTACTCAAGCCTCGCTTCTTGACATTTGCCGGGCGGCCACTTGGGCATCTCCGTCACCTTTCATACGCCACTATAAAATTGACACTTTCGCTTCGGCTGAAGCGTCCTTTGGCAGGCGAGTCCTACAGCAAGTGGTTGGGGATCCTAAGGAGATTCCGATCCAGATGGAGTCCCGCCCGTAGGACAAACATGCTTTGGTATGTCCCACTCTCT